CAGACAGATAGATAGATAGATAGATAGATAGATAGATAGATAAAGTAAGTAAGTGCAAAATAGGATATATATATATATAGATAGATAGAGAGAGAGAGAGAGAGAGAGAGATACATTACGTTTCTATCAGGTGTTTCAACCGGTTCTTGTAAGATCTTTGAAGTTAAGCAACAATGAGCATGCTCAATACCTAGATAGGAATACAAGGTGCTGTAAAATTGGAGGTGGTGTAATGAATAAAGGATCGGAATTTTCAGCCGGAGTGCCGAGGTTCAATTCCTGTCGAGTTCGTTATACTAACTTGCGTGCCAATACATTTTTTAAAAAGTTTGGTGTCACCGCATCTCCCCTCCGGTATGGGGTAATTAGTAAGACATCTGTAACTATTAATATCGCCTCTCCCCAAATACAACTTTGATAAGCTAAAGAAAACGAATCAATAGCTATGTAGATGGATATATATATTAACGGGCTGAGTAAGATAAGAACGGATTGAGATATATAGACGATTCTATGATCACACTGATTTTATAGACGCTCTCCTCCTGATAATGATCACTGTTTCCGTTATAAATACACATTCTATTTAATCAGTTTCATGACGTTCCTATCTATCTATCTATCTATCTATCTATCTCAGTCAGTTCATATCTATCTCACTCTGTCCATTATCTATCTATCTATCTATCTATCTATCTATCTATCTATCTATCTATCTATCTATCTCAGTCAGTTCATATCTATCTCACTCTGTCCATTATCTGTCTATCTATCTATCTATCTATCTATCTATCTATCTATCTATCTATCTCAGTCAGTTCATATCTATCTCACTCTGTCCATTATCTATCTATCTATCTATCTATCTATCTATCTATCTATCTATCTATCTCAGTCAGTTCATATCTATCTATCTATCTATCTATCTATCTATCTATCTATCTATCTATCTATCTATCAATCTATCTATCTATCTATCTCAGTCAGTTCATATCTATCTCACTCTGTCCATTATCTATCTATCTATCTATCTATATATCTATCTATCTATCTATCTCAGTCAGTTCGTATCTCACTCTGTTTATCTATCTATCTATCTATCTATCTATCTATCTATCTATCTATCTATCTATCTATCTCAGTCAGTTCATATCAATCTCACTCTGTCCATTATCTATCTATCTATCTATCTATCTATCTATCTATCTATCTATCTATCTATCTATCAGACTCCCTTTTTCATATTTAGTTATTATGCATATGCGAATATTTGTTTTCCCTCACCATATATATATATATATATATATATATATATGGTCGCATCCTCCTAGTGTCAGTCTTAACTGGCATTTATTTTTAACTTTTAAATATAATTTTCGAATGTCAAAATCTCAGATGTTCAAAACAAATTGAAGTTATAAGACTGCGCCAATCTAAACAGACGTCAGAAGAATATGGCGCAGTTGTCCATCCATACTCAAGAACTCCGCATTACCAGTTTGATTGAGTTCTTAATTTTTATCTTAGTCTTTCATTTTTAATTACGATGTTCGGACTTCTATTTCAAATATTTGCTTGCGGATATAAAATTTTCTTATGACCATTAAAACAGACAGTAAGGATGAAACATTTTTTGCATTTTTACCGTAGAAGGAAAATCGAATAGAAAGATTTAAAAAAAAGAAAAGAAAAAGGTGACTAGTAGTTCTTCCTCGTTCTACAGAGGTCAATTACGAATTAAAAACACACGTAACACACACGTAAGCACACACACACACACACACATGTACGCACACATACACATCTATCTATCTATCTATCTCTCTCTCTCTCTCTCTATATATATATATATATATATATATATATATATATATAATATAAAAAATAATAAATGTGAATGTCATTGTGTCACTGTGTCACACGTTTTTAACTTTACTGCTAGAGGCCGTACCCCAACATATCATAACATTCTGGGCACCTCGAGGTGGTGTAATGGTTAATAAGCTTGTCTCGCTAGAACAGTTACGACTGAGTAATGAGTTCGATCCTCACTGGGTGCCCCATACTTCCGGTTTTGTGCCACATCTGAGCTACGCTTGGAAAATTACAACTGGGCACCTCGAGGCGGTGGAATGATTAGTAAGTTTGGCTTGCTAGGACAATTTAGACTGAGTAATTAGTTTGATCCTCACTGGGTGCCCTATTATTTCGGCCTTGTGCCAGATCTGAGCTACGCTTGGAAAATCATTGGGCACCTCGAGGCGGTGTAGGGGTTAGCAAGCTTGTCTCGCTAGAACAATTACAACTGAGTAGTGAGTTCCATCCTCACTGGGTGCTCCATACTTCCGGCCTTGTGCCACATCTAAGCTAAGCTGAGAAAATCACTATCGTAACATTCTGGAAACAGGCCGACCCCGTGAACAAATTAAGAACCAGATCCTGAAATTTTGAATTCCCAAAGTTTTCATAAATGTGATTGTTTTCGCCGGTTTTTTTCGTGATTTTTTGCGACGAATTTTTTATTTTTTTTGTACGATAAGTTTTTATAACTTGGAAATAAATTCGGGAATAATCGAAATTAATTACGAAATCCAGCAAAAATCACCCATGAATTATTGTAAGAACTTTTAAAAGGTAAGCTTAAATATTAATACAAGGAGCCAGTTTAAATACCGCCCGATGTTATATATATATATATATATATATATATATATATATATATATATATATATAAGTTTCAGTAAAAAAAAAAAAGCCGGTAAATTCAGAAAGAAATTTATTTAGCTATTATGATTCATGCACAAACTGAACAATCATCGTAGATGTTAGAAATGTTCGCCTGAATATTCAAAACAAAGATGGAATCGTGTTTACCAGGAAGAGGCAGTATCATTGCGGATAATGTCAAGAGGAATTTCATTCTAAGTTTCAGTTAAGTTCCACTTCAATGAATCAATATAGACGACGGTTTTGCAAGAGAGTAAGATGTATACTCCAGTTCCAGTAATCCATAACATTTAGATATGTCATAAAATGATATGTCATAAAATGATATGTCATAAAATCCATCCACCCTGTATTTACATATAAACTCAAGTACAGGGTGTCCACCAATAATATATATATATATATATATATATATATATATATATATATATAGGGCGACCAGTAAAAAGCTGCAAATTCAGAAAGAAATTTATTTAGTTATCATGATGCATTCACTGAACAGTCATTGTAGATGTTCGAAATGTCTGACTGAATGTTCAACACAAAGTTGTAAGTGTGTTTACCAGGAGGCAGTAGCTTTATTCAATGTCATGAATATCCAAAAAGGTATCCAAGGTTATTCAAGGTCAATTAGGGAACGACAAACTATATACACATATTGATATTATCCCAATATATGTATGGAAACGTACAGCCACGTTATACTGAGACCTAAAAGTCACTCGTTCTGTTTATAGGCTGTGTAGACTTTAATACATATTGTCTCCAGTGCAACAGTGTTTTTTTATCAGATCGCTTCGTGTGCCGTCCAGAGAGCTATTGCTGCCAGCTCTTTAGCCAACTGTGTTTAAACAAACTGCAGCTCGACAGAGAATCAATGTCATTAACAAATGAGACACCAAACCAGCTCACTAACGTATCAGCAAAGATCTTAATATTTCATCTGGTAAGACCATTACAGCCACCCGCTTAATAACCTCGGGCTATCGTTTGTTGTTCCACTAATGAACTTTCAATTGAAATTACGTGTAATGTACTGCGCATGGACAATGCGATTACAAGAGATCCGGGTGCGCATGCTCAGAACTGCTCGTTAGTTGGGCGTCGCATTAAGACATACGTAATCTCACAGTCAACCATAATCCTTAAAAATTGGACAGAAGCGATAAAAATGCCCGTCTACACCGCTCAGAATTTTAAACTATACAAGCAGATAGATCAATTATTCATGTGTGTGGCAATGGTACATTCATGACACGGATTACAATACAAAATGAACGGTCAAACGGGTGTACGAGTACAGGATTATTACGTAAGTACACGTCGGTGTACGTTGTGGTGTAATGAATATCGGCCTGGAGTGAGAACACGAGTTCAAATTCCAGTCGAGTTCGTTTGAGTCACTTACGCACAAATGCCCTTCTCCCCCCCACTATGGGTTGAATAGCAGGGCGGAATGGGCTCTTTAGCCTCGACTGGCAACCAGCCTACCTCAGAGAGAAACGACAACTTAGTGCGAGAAAATAAAATCTGCCTTATCAATCATGTATCGAAAGATAATTGATCGCTTAAGCGTGTATCACGTATGGCACTTACCTGACAGACTCATCTATCTATCTATCTATCTATCTATCTATCTATCTATCTATCTATCTATCTATCTATCTATCTATCTATCTCAGCCTGTTCATTATCTATCTATCTATCTATCTATCTATCTATCTATCTGTCAGTGCGTCTTTCTTTCTTTCTTTTTTTTCTTCTATCTATCTATCTATCTATCTATCTATCTATCTATCTATCAGTGCGTCTTTCTTTCTTTTTTTCTTTCTTTCTATCTATCTATCTATCTATCTCAGCCTGTTCATTATCTATCTATCTATCTATCTATCTATCTATCTATCTATCTATCTGTCAGTGCGTCTTTCTTTCTTTTTTTCTTTCTTTCTATCTATCTATCTATCTATCTATCTATCTATCTATCTATCTATCTATCTCAGCCTGTTCATTATCTATCTATCTATCTATCTATCTATCTATCTATCTATCTATCTATCTATGACATTCCCTTATATGTCTATTAGTTATAACTTTCTGTTTATTATGTCTATCTATCTATATACCTTTCTAACTCAGTTCATATCTATCTGCATAAAAATTTACTTATGTATGTATGTATGTATGTATGTATGTATCTGTCTATCTAATTTTGTTCATTACCTAATTGTGCTTATTCATAAATCAATTTCTACTTCGGAAATAATTTCGATACATAATTAAGTAACATAAAACATGAATCAATAATTGTTTACCATATTCTATTCTTGATGAACAAATCATTTATTTAAAGATAATTCGTAAGACACACGACTGAACAAGAAGGCCATTAAATTAATTAATATAATCAGATGCACCCAAACTTTACACAGGATGAAATGACTACAAAATATATTATCTATAGATTCGTAAATCATACACATTGCCATAAACATCTTTGATTTATTATCTATGAGAGAAAATGAAAACCTTCAATTCCGTAGTTAATAATAAAGCCTTGATATAATCAAATCCTCCGTATAAGATTAATGTTGTTTGCAAGTGCACTTGTTCTATTGTAAATTTTATCACTAATAATAATAAAATACCTGACATTGGTTATACAACCACAACCCTCTCCTGTAGAATCGATTGTCAGACGTCCGTCAAAAAGCGCAACATATAGAAAAAAAATATTATAATATCATAAAACAGCTTTTCTTTGATAATACAATAGAATTTGGTAAAACAAATGGCAATGAGATTATGGACTTTAGAAATTATTCATATTAAATTAAAGCAAATAATAAAAACTTGATTCTCTTCTCATTTGGGAAAATGTAATTTAAAATATGTTTACATTGACAATGACATGGCAAACGTTCGAATAATGCCACCTTCACGTGACATCGAATCACACAGATGTGTAAAATAATGCATCCTATTCAAAGTCAGGCTACAAAGAGAACACAAGACATTAATTGTTGACAGTGGATAATGTGGTTTGAAAGCTTGAAATACATAATAAACTGCACTCACTTCCCGCGGTATCTGATATCTAATATCCGGAAATTATGCCGTCAATTAAACAAAAAATTTTTTTTCAATAAAATAGAGAGTATTAATTCACTTCCATCAACAAAATGTTTTGTTTTATCTATCTATCTATCTATCTATCTATCTATCTATCTATCTATCTATCTATCTATCTATCACACACTCTCTCTTTCTTTCTCCATCAATGTTACTCTAGATATTCAGTTCTAATATCCAGAAATTAATCCGTCAAATAAAGAGATATTTTGGAATAAAATAGTGTGCATTCATTCATTTCTTTTAGAAGAATATATTTCATCTATCTATCTATCTCTTTCCTTGTGTTCATATCTATCTATCTATCTATCTATCTATCTATCTATCTATCTATCTATCTATCTATAACACACACGCGCTCTCTATCTATCTATCTATCTATCTATCTATCTATCTATCTCTTTCCTTGTGTTCATATCTATCTATCTATCTATCTATCTATCTATCTATCTATCTATCTATCACACACACGCGCTCTCTATCTATCTATCTATCTATCTATCTATCTATCTATCTATCTATCTATCTATCTCTTTCCTTGTGTTCATATCTATCTATCTATCTATCTATCTATCTATCTATCTATCTATCTATTTACGCCACGCTAGAGAAGTTCAATTCTAATAACTTGAAATTAATCTTTCAATTAAAGAAAATATTTTATTTATTTCATTTAACAAATTCTAAGTCTATATCTCTCTCTCTCTCTCTCTCTCTCTCTCTCTCTCTCTCTCTGTCTGTCTCTCTCTATCTATCTATCTATCTATCTATCTATCTATTATGGTCCGGTTCCTTGTACCACGGTGATAGTCTAAGGTAGAACCAATAAAGAAGAACTCGAAGGCGGATATGGAATAACACAGATATATTACAAACAGGAATATATACATAGAAGTAGAAAGTATTAGTACGAACAATCAGGTTTAGTAGTAATTGTCTGAACGCGACTCTGTTTCGGACTGCCTCTGACTCGACTGACTGATTCGCTCTCTCTGACTGACTGACGGACTTCTGACGGACTTCTGTCGGACCTCACTCCAGACTTCAGACTGAACAGTATTTAGTCACCCCACCACGAGGGCATCATGTGGCACAAGGCCGGGTTAACGCGGGATCTCCGAGCTCGTAGGCTGGACCAAAAATATGCCCTTTGAACCCGTATTAACGGGTTCAGGGTCGGTTTACCTCCCCGAAAGAGACTCCGCCCTTCGGCGTAGCCTCGTTCGGGTTCCTCCCCGCCCGAAGGCAGAGAGTTCAACCGATCAGCCGGTCAGCCGGTCAGCCGGTCGCCCGACTTCGAACTGAACTCCCTGCTTCCTCTTGAGGCGCAGTATTTATTACGTATGGAATAGTCCATTATGTTATTATGGGTAAGGTTCCATAACACTATCTATCACACTCTATCTGTCTATCTATCTATCACACACACAAACACACACAAACACACACACACTCTCTTTCTCTTTCTATCTCTCTATCTATCTATGTCTTTCCTTTCTATCTATCTATCTATCTATCTGTTTGTCTATCTATCTATCACTCTCACTATCTAACTCTATTTTTCCCTCTCACTTTCTATCTATGTCACTCAATTCCAGTTCTGATATCTATAAATTAATTCGCCAAGAAAAAGAAATATTTTAATATATAATATGCATAATTTATTTATTTTATTTAACAAAATGTTTCGTATTGCATTTCTGAGATGAGTAATTGTCAACGTTCTTATATTATTTCGAACTGTTGTTCTCGTCTTAGTTGATATAAATGTTATTATTGACTCAACGTTTCGACCATATGCCCTCTAGTCATCATCAGATGTCCACTAATTGGCTGATATGGGATATCTGTTTATTATAACGATATTTTAGGCCTTTGATATCAGTTTTTTTTCGTTCCTGCTGATGCGAGGATTGAACTCATGGCCTCTAGATGAGAGTAAAGCTCTTTTATCCACTACACCTTCATCCCGAAGAACAATTAGTGTCGAAGAAATAATGTAAGTAAAATGTTCAGATGCAAAGCGGATGGATGTATTTTCATTCAGCTATGGGTTAAATAGCAGAACAAGCCTTGGGTGTCAGCCGGCCTAGGAGAAACTCTGAATTCAACATTTAGTCAATTCTGGGTAATTTGAAAGAGGAGATGTCTAAGGCATAAACCCTACACATTGGTAGCGCTAAGGCAGTTGGCTGATGTTAGTTCCAATCCAATAGGGAATAACTTCAAAACACTTCCCCCTTCCCAATATATAAGCAAAACTACACAAATGCATGCTGAGATTTCTTCTTAGCCAATAAGATAGGTCACTAACCAGTGTCATCTGATTCAATACCGATCTGTCTTATCTTGAAGTCAGAACATTCGTTCATCTGAAGTGGCTCTTGTATATCGACGCCAATTGTGAAATTTTCGCCATATTACCCTTGCTTTGCCTTATTACTGTTAATTTGCCTTGCATATATTTTTCGTCCTGTTCTTTGCTTTCTCTTGTTTATTGCAAACTTTGTCAATTCTGTTTTGTTGGACAGTCCTGCCATTCATTCACATCTAACCCTAACCACTCATTCTACACTTTTTCATCATTGTATGCCCTAGGAATTTCAACTGTCTTTTTCTTGTGTTAATTTGCCTTACATATATTTTTTGTTTGTTTTGTATTATTTTGTTGCCCTTTTCTTTTCTTTTTCTTGTTTATTGCAAACTTTGTCAATTCTGTTTGTTGTACAGTCCTGCCATTTGTTTATATTTAACCATGGCCATTCACTCTAGAATGTGTCAAGCCTCTGCAGAAAAACTGTGTCTAAGTGTTTCATGTAGTTGTTGTAGATTGGCTGCTCTGTAGATTTGCACAAAACAGAGAAAATATTCTTCCGGTACACTACGATTTGTCTGAGGTATTACGCAATAGCAAACCCGGATGCAACAGACTTATGCAAATTATCACTCAGCTAACCTCTCCGGATAAATGCCGTAACATGCTGGGAAATTATTCTCTCCAAAAGTTCAGTTGTCCCGTCTATATAGTCAGCATCCCACTGACATTTAAAAGAATAAATAACAGATGGCGCTTTAAGGATAGGCAGTCGGTAATCGCAAACAGGCTTCAAAACAGACCCATACGGGAACATTACTCTAGAACTAGCAGTTCGATAAGGTTACATTAGCAGCAGATCTCAAGAAAGACCTATATTCTATCGTTAATTCGGACAAAGAATGACTTGTTAATTTTTATCGCCTCGAAAATAAAACTGCTTTCTATTTTTGTATGAAAGAACCATTTCTCTATTCAATTAGCATTACTCTTGTTAGCCTAGAGGATAATGACTCTTTGCGCCTACTCGTGCTAAAGTTTTCCACGGACATTAAGTGGAAAGAATATATTAAATCGATTGCAGCGAAAATTTGTTCACTTTGTTTGCTAGACAATTTTTTTCTCGCCAGAATCTATCTTACATATTTACAAGTCTACCATTCCTTCATGCTTAGAATATGGCTGCAACATATGGTCTGATGCGTCTGCTATATATTTAGAGATCCTTGATAAACTCCAAATAAGATTCTACAATGCTATTGCTCCTGACCTGACCTCTCGGCTTTTGTCACTTTCCCACCCTCCGTAACGTGGATTCCCTGTGCCTTTTCTATAAATAGTTTCATGTTAATTGCTTTAATCAGCTATCCTATTTGGTACCTAGACTTTATGAATTTAAACGCAGTACTAGATTAGCGGCAAGGTCTCATCATTTTACAGTCGAATTGGCTAGATACGACCGTAAGTTCTATTCTAACAGTTTCTTATATCGCACTTCTTACTCGTGGAACTCTCTTCCGGTTTCTTGCTTTCCAGTCAAGTTTGATCTTAAACAAAAATTAAATGCGATGTCAATCGTTATCTTCTCTCCTGTTAAATTCTGTTCACCTATGATGTGGCCAGGTTTTGAACACATAACAACTAAGATATGTAGAAAAGGTGCAATCTACCCCCGTGGATTAAATAAAGGGTTCGATTCAAAATTCCAACGGATATCTCCTGAAGAAGGCTGGTGCGTACAACGGCTGAGACGTCGTGAATATGACAATAACGAAAAGGACAACAGTCCGAACCATGTAAATAGTGTAAATAGTTACAATACCTCATCTCAGAAATATAGACTGATACTGAAGAAAGCCGGAGTGTACAACGGCCGAAACGTCGTTAAGATGATAATAAATATGAGGACAACAGTCCGAATAATTTAAATAGTGTAAATAGTTGCAATACCTCATCTCAGAAATATATACAGATTCTGAAGAAGGCCGGAACGTACAACGGCCGAAACTTCGTGAATTTGACAATAAAGATTAGGACAACAGTCTGAATAATTTAAATATTGTAAATAGTTACAATACCTCGTGTTAGAAATTTAGACGGAGAAATCAATAAATAATAAATTATTAACTTATAAAGTAATTCATTATAATAAAAAAAAAAAACCAAGAAAATAAATCTCTTTGTTATTTAGGATTCGACCCGTTATCTTCGTTTACGGCCTAATTCCCTCCCGGACCTAGGTGGTCGTAACTCTCTACAGCTTCCTGTACTGAACTTTCTCTACTCTATCCTAATTTCCACGAGTTCTTGGCAAATATATTGGGGCAGTTTCTCGATGCTTTCTCTATAGTTTTGAATTAAGAGTTCTAGAAGATCCGATCCGTTGCCATCCAAGGCTAATGAGTTCTGTCTACCTTGTTATTTGACCTATAGATGAATCTGCTTATTCGATTGAAATGCCATTGTTCCTACTTTTCACTTTGCAAACGTATTTTCTCTACAAACGATTGTATACTTCGTATTTATTTTGCAGAAATATTTCAGCTTATTCTTCTTTAAAAATAACTGAAACGGGAAGAAACCTTTTTTTTTCATTGTTTGATAGGTCTATCTCCCTCTTTCAGGATAGAGTGATTCAGATGTTGATAATCGACGTTGTGAGGGCGTTCAAAAGTTAAATCTCGTGCGTCGTTATGTAAAGAGTCATATCAACCAAGGGTTACAGGATCAATTGATTGCGTGTCTCCAGTGATAGGATCAGACTTGCTTTGCTTAATACCAGATGATCTGATTAAGAATTTACGGTCAAGTAGGTCTGATCAGGTATCGACTTCCATTTTCGAAGAGACGATGTCAGCTTTAAAAACGATAAAAAAAAAATGAAAACAGGAAAATATTTCACGCATGCGCGTAACAGACACATAATTCTAACTCATTGGCTTATCCTTTGGGACGCCGCTTTTCATGAAAAAAGTAATTTAAATGAATTAAGTTTCTTAACCACGTGGGTTTGTTACTTTTTCTTTTCTTTTTTTTCTTTTTTTTTTTTGTATTTTGCTTCTCTCTAACCGTAAGCAACTTTTTGTTTTAATTTTTTTGTCACTTCTTCCTGCATTCTATATAAACAAACAATATCTCTGTGACATTATATCAAGTGGATATATCATCAGTTGATCTTCTACAATCATTGTTTTCACTGTCTTCATCAATGGTTGATTCCTTATAACTGACATTTTCTAGCAAACTGTATCCAGACAAGAACCGGGTCAGACCAAAGATGGAGTATTGTTACTATATCTGAGCTGGAGTTAAACAGTCCGCTGTATCCAACCTCGATAGAGTTCAGAAGTGTTGCTGATCTCGAATCATAGCTTTTTGAGATGGAGTATGGGTGTCTTTTCTTTATAGTACTTGGGAATCCATACATAGTTTTTATTTTATGAATTAAATATGTGCGCATGCAGCTTAACGGTTACCAATACAGAAAGCGGGATCGACCTGCCGAATTCAAATTCTTTTTAAAATAATGCCCTTGAAAAAGGCATGAAACCATCTATTTCTTAAATAGCTGAGAAAACTCAGCTCCATTCAGGAAAGGCTGAATTTACTCTAAAGATGGAATGCCTCCTGTGGGCCATCTTTCCCTATTCTGACACTAATATTTCATTGATTTATTCGGTTTTCCGGATTATCAACATTTTTTAGATTATTTAAAGCTAGATTTTATTTTTAGTTTCTAAGGATTTTTGTTTTTAAATAATAATGTTTTAGTGGTGCAAGTCTTCTTATTTAACCCATAGCTGGGTGGTGGGGTGAACTTTTGGACTCATACATTTCCCAAGGATATTTCTGCGTAAGTGAATACATGAACTCGATAACAACTGGAACATGGCTCTACAATTAAGGATCCCCTGTCATTATTCATTACACCAGCCGCGCATCCAAGCTTACAGCATTTGGTATTCCTAAGCGGTTACCCGTCTAGGTTCTGACCAGGCTCGACGTTGCTTAACTTCCGTGATCGTACGGGAACTCGACTCTCCAATTAACAATTCCGAGCCATTGTCCGTTACACCACCCGCACATTCAAGCTTACAGCACCTGGTATTCCCAAGCGGTTACCCATCTAGGTACTGACCAGGCTCGACCTTGCTTAACTTCGGTGATCGTACGGGAACTCGACTCTCCGCTTAACAATTCCGAGCCATTATTCCTTACACCAGCCACACATCAAAGCTTACAGCATCTGGTATTCCCAAGCGGTTGCCCATCTTGGTGCTGGCCAGGCTCGACGTTGCTTAAATTCGGTGATTGTTCCGGTTCTTCAACG